TTTTAAGTCTAGCAATATACTATTACAAAAGCATCACTAAACTATAAAGGACAAAAAAAGTTTAAAAGGATGAAAAAAAGGTATAATACTAACCAAATTACAGCTCTTTGAGTCTCAGACAAAATAGATTTTAATGAAGTGTGAAAGTTGTCAGCATCAAAATGGAGTCCCCTGTGTTTAAAAAACAAAAACCACCCTGAAAAATAGATCGGGGGAAGACTGAAGAGAGGGCTCTCATGCTTGTATGCCCAATAGCAAAATGATCACAAAAGACTCTGCAGTGACCTCCACAACCTAGCGACAAAGGTCATCGACGTGGTCTACAAAAGAGTACTTCAGGGAGGATGTCCACCCAGCAACTGCCTGTCCAACCTTGGTCTGGCATCACCTTTGTTAACTGATCTTTGTAGCCAGGGATAATTATCTTAAACCAGTATGTAATTCCTCTCATTATTCCTTTTAAAAAGTCTGTCTCCCTTTACCTCCCTTAATCACACACAGTTATGGCGCACGTATTCCCATTGCAATGCCCTATCCCTAAATAAACATCTTTGTCTTTTAGAGAGCCTCTCTCTTTTATTTAGTTCGACATAAATGGGGTCAAAAACAAGACCTGAAGAAAGATGACTATTGCAAAAAGTTGGTGGTTCTTGGAACCAGTGTATAGCACTCACTCGGGCCGTGGGAGCTCTCAGCTTTCATGGCTCCTATTTTCTGCCCTGGGGAGACTTCTCCCTCTTTTTGGTAGGAGTTTTTGGTAACTTTTGAGATCTGGTTTGGTTATAAGGCCACCTTAATAAAGGACCTTATATCTCACCTGGAATGATGAAAGACTTTTTCTTTTCTGGCATAATGACAGATGTCTCTCTAGGTTCAGTACTCTGGTTTCTACAGCATTTGCGTTCTCTCTGTGAGGCATGTCATTTTTGGTGAATTCACTTTTGGTCCGAGTGCCTAATTTAATGTTTTGTGTGATCTGTGTGCCTGGGTTAAACTTTTTGTGAACACTCTTGTTTTGATTTTGTTTAACTCTTTTCCCTTATTTGTTTCTAAACATCTTCCAACAGCAAAGCCAAACATTCTAAATGGTGGGTGCAGGGTGGCTAATCAAAAGCTACCAGGGTGCTTGCTTCAGCAGCACATATGCTAAAATGGAGATTACCATGAAAAAAATTATATATATAAAAAAAGGCCAGCCATGGTGGCTCACACCTGTAATCTCAGTACTTTGGGGAGCCTGAGACAGGGAAATTGCTTGAGGCCAGGAGTTCAAGACCAGCCTGGACAACAAGACCCTGAGACCCCATCTCTACGAAAAATAGAAAAATCAGCCAGTTGTGGTGGTGTGTGCCTGTAGTCCCAGCTACCTGGAAGGCTGATGGGGCAGGAGGACCGCTGTGATTGTACTAGTGCATTGCAGCCTGGATGGCAGAAAGAGTCCCTAACCCGTCTGTTAAAAAAAAAAGAAGAGGAAGAAGGGTGAGAAGGAGAAGAACAACTAGTACTTCTTGTGGCATCTGAACCAGGAAACGTCTTAAAACACCTCCATGGTAACCAACAACCTAGATACCTGTTGGAAATGTAAATTTAGGTTTTCTTGACGATCACTTATGGTGATGGAACACTTAACTGAAACATTAGTAGTTGTAAAAGAAAAGAACTAGGTAAATGTTTATAAAGGTTAGGCTCTCCAATCAAACAGGCCAATATTTGAGCTCAGAGCAGTAAATAAGGTATCATTGTCTGGTATAAAAATTTTGCTTTGCCATGGGTCAAAAGGAAAAGGCAAAAACAAAACAAAACAAAACTAACCTGTAAATGTTTCCCCATCTGGAATATTCAAGCAAACCAGACCAACAAAGGATAGAATTGTTACTAGTTCAAGGCTACTTAGAGATTTTGTTTTTCTTATACAATTCAGCTAGTCTTAGCTAAAATGTAAACATTGAAAATTTAACCCTACACGCATTTGAAACTGAAAAAAGGGGGAGGAAAAAGAGTAAAGAATGTTTTTCTGAAAAACCAAATTGCTGTGGAAACTGCTTCACCCAAAACTTTGGTCTACAGTCTTTATTAGATTATCTGGGCAGATAAAATTTAACCGTGTGACTGGGCTCCCAATTTTGTCAGAAATATAAGTTGGATCCAACTTTTATAAACCAGTGAGTTTTTATTACTATCTCATGCCTAAAATGAAAGCTCTAACATTTTTGTGTGTTTATGTGTTCCTAATAAAAACCAGCTGTCCCTTCTAAGTTGTTGGCAAGATACTTACATATTTAACTTTAAGGTTATTACTTAGGTTAACACCTAATATTTACAGACTGTGAAAATGGTTGACAGGGAAATAATTTGAAAGTGTTCTAACTTTGTCTATTAATAATATCTTAGTTTTCATATGTAATCTAGGTAAAATTTTAAAAATAAATAAATTAGGTAATGTAATAGGATAAATGTTGATAAATTAATCTTATACGTAATTTGAAATCTTAAAGTTATGCTGTGTTAAATAATAAATACTCATTAAATGTCTAGGTCATTTTCAAGTAAGATTTAAAAACCAATTGCTAAACATAAATATGTTTGTTCTTGGCTTCTTAAATTTTATAGACAGACTAAATATATTTGGGTCTATTAATACACATAAAAACATGAGAAAACATGTTTCTAAAAATTACAGATTGATTCACATCTATAAAATACTGATCTGTGAAAGACAGTTCAAAATTTCCTGCTTCCTAGGTTTACACTAAAAATTAAAGATGCTAAGAGTTAAAATCCTAGTTAATGTATACAATTCTTTATATAAAGTGTACCCCAAAAATGTTTTTTACTTTGAAAAATTATAAGAAAGGCATAAAAAGTGTATTCTTTGTTTAGAAAAAAGAATTTTGCTTAATTTGGAGGTTATTTAAAGATTGTTTTAAAATATGGTTTAGGAAGGAAATAGAAACAAAATAGAAAGGTACAAGTAAGTAGGAGAGAGATGTATGGGTGTGAAGATGTATTTTTGGTAAGGAAAGTTAGAGAATAATTTTATATGAAAAAGAATCTTGTGCAGCAAATTTCTGTCCCAAAGTACAATGACTTGTTATTTAACAAAGAGGAAGTATAAGACAAAGCAGAAATTCCACGCATGTTATCAGAATGTCTGAGCAGGTCAAGAAAGGTTCATGAAGCGTGAAAGGAATTTTGTGTGATCAAGTTGGCCATAATTAAAAATTATTTAAAAATGAGCTTTGACATTAAAAATGCACTGACACAAAACCAAAAATTTGATCACCTGTATTAGAACAAGGTTTTCTTGAAACATATATTTGTTCTTAGTAAAATTGCAAGAAGTTTTTATTTTTAATTCTGAAATCTGTTTTTTTTTTTTTTTTTTAGACAGAGTCTCGCTTTCTTGCCTAGGCTAGAGTGAGTGCCGTGGCGTCAGCCTAGCTCACAGCAACCTCAAACTCCTGGGCTCAAGTGATCCTCCTGCCTCAGCCTCCTGAGTAGCTGGGACTATAGGCACGAGCCACCATGCACGGCTGATTTTTATATTATATATATTAGTTGGCCAATTAATTTCTTTTTATTTTTATGGTAGAGACGGGGTCTCACTCTTGCTCAGGCTGGTTTTGAACTCCTGACCTTGAGCAATCCGCCCGCCTGGGCCTCCCAGAGTGCTAGAATTACAGGCGTGAGCCACCGGCGCCCGGCCTTGAAATCTATTTCTTTAACAGCCATCTTCTAAACTGCAGAGAGTTTCTATTTCTGCCACATTTCTTCCTGAGATCTATTTAATTTCCCTAGTGTCAGGCTGGAAATGAGATCTTTTTCATTTGGAATGGTAGTTTTATTTCTTTATGTAGTTTTCCTCTTGAGGTTTCTTAGCCTCCTATCTCAAAGGTTCACCTCTTGCTGTGTCTCACTGCATGTGATTTGCAAGTCCTGCATCCTTGTGTTCAGCTCTCTTCCTTCTCCCCTCAAAAAGGTGTATGTTTTTGCTTGGCTGGACTGATAATTCTCTCATTCAACTTTTTCACCACCTGTAACTTTTTTCTATAGTTCTAACTCTGCTGTTAGGACGTGATACTGAAATACTTATCTTGAAGGCCTAGAAAAGCAGTGTTTCCTTCCAGTATAATTTAATTCTGTACTCTTGGCTTTTCTTGATGTGTTTGAATTGTTCCATATAACCAGGACACTTCCCATGCTGTTATGAAGAGCCATATATTCCCCTGCTCAAGGTGCTCATTTTCTTCCTCTATAATGCGGTGTGCACTCATAACACTGGACACAGTCTTCCTGCGTCTGAGTAAATTCAAGTACTCTTTCACCAGCTTCACCTTCCAGGTTGTCTAAATGAGCTTCTCATAAGGAGAAGCAATCACACCACAAGAGATTTTTGTTTACCTTTTGGATAACTGGCCTAAAACCACAAAGAATTTATGCTTTATTAAGATAATTGCCTGTGTTGTGTGTATTAAGTTTTTGATTACTTTGGAAAGCTGAGCTTTGGTTAAGGTTTTTAAATCCATGTAACTTTATGGCTTTTGAAATCTTTTGATTATCACTCTGGTTACATGAATATTATTTCATAGTAACATGTTTCTGTTTTGATCAAGTGCTTTAAGTCTTTTGACATTTTTGGCAGGTTTCCCTAGGATCAAAATTCTAAATTAAATCTTTTTGACCTAGAATTAATTTTGAGATTTTCCAGTCAGGCCCCTGGGAAGTCTAAAAGAACATCTCTCTCGGCCAGGCAAGGTGGCTCACGCCTGTAATCCTAGCACTCTGGGAGGCCAAGGCAGGAGGATTGCTCAAGGTCAGGAGTTCAAGACCAGCCTGAGCAAGAGCAAGACCCCGTTTCTACTAAAAATAGAAAGAAATTATCTGGACAACTAAAAATGTATACAAAAAATTAGCTAGGCATAGTGGTGCATGCCTGTAGTCCCAGCTACTCAGGACACTGGGGCAGGAGGATGGCTTGAGCCCAGGAGTTTGAGGTTGCTGTGAGCTAGGCTGATGCCATGGCACTCCAGCCTGGACAACAGAGGGAAACTCTGTCTCAAAAAAAAAAGAACATCTCTCTCATCTTGTAGAGATACTAAATGATTAGGCTTATTTGGTAAATTGTGTGGGAAACACTGTCAAATGGTAAGTGATGCTAAATCTTTCAATTAATTTGTGAGTGCGTTATTGATACAAATGTTTCAAAAATTATATAAATTTATAACTATGTGATGTTACCAGTCATCACCTTGGTTGTTATGTTAAGTCTTCTTTAAAGTTATGTTCATATGGATATGTTGTTGATATGAATATTCTAAAGATGACATGAAATTTATAAATCTGATGGTCCTGGTGTGATGCTGTCAGTCATGATTCTGGTTGTTATCTTAAAATGCTGTGTGTAGTAGAAGTAACTCAATTTCCTTGTCAATTATGAACAATTACCAGATTTTTAACCATGGCCATTCTGAGTTTTTATCATCCACTGTTACTGTTTTGATTTCTTCTCTAAAACCATTTGTAAGTATCTATAGTCCAAAATTGTTTTTCATGGAAAAGACTTCCACAAGTATTCTTGAACACACAGAATTTCTAATAACTTTAAGATCAAGGGAATAAATAAAAATTTCCAGACCTCCGATAAAGAAGCTGATGAGTTCATGAAACTGCTAATCAAGATCAAGAAGAACAAAAAATAATTACATGGGATTAAGTAACTGATGAAGATAATGCTTTTATTACTTTTATTTGAAACATTGTTGGTTCTTTATGTAAATGTTTTGTTTTCCAGATTTAAGAAAGCTATCTCTAGTTTACAACAATTTGGTAAATTATACTTTCGTGAACAAAGGTGGAAACATTTGCTTTTTCTCCCTATTTGATTCCTGCAAAATTTGGAAACTATTTGTGAGTATTCTTACTTCTTGTAACAATATGGTTTTCATATAAGTTCAACAAAAATCCGCTCTCTCTCTATAGTAACATACAGTGAGAAACATTGGTTATATACCAAGGCCTTGGCTAAAATACCGTATTTGAGAATGTACATAGAATGCCTAATTTCAAGAGTTCTCAGCCTTACAGTGAATGAGTAAAAATTGTCACTTCCTGGCAAGCTCAGAAACCTTAAATTGTAAGTAAAATCTAAAGCCTGCCTTGGTTTAGCCTCCCAGCCTTAACATATTTTTAAATCTGAGATTCCTATGTGATCAATGTAGAGAGAAAAAGTTTTATGTTTCTTAAAAAAAAATAATAATAATATACCTATTATTAGATAATAGCCCTACGCATTGTTCTTCAAGTTCTTGTTATCTACCTGTAGACTTGATTAGATTGTGAATTCTTTTAGATTCCTCCAATACAGCTTTCTTCCATGGGATTACTAATGACAGTAACTGCTCTGTTCCTAAAGTCCTGTAAGATAAAACTAGATGAATTTTAAGGAACAAGCCTCGTGTGTGGTGTACGGGCCAGCAAAAAGTTTACCGAACTGCCTGATGCCATAACCAGAGACATTCATACTACAAACCGGGACGAGATGTTGACATTTGCAAGCTGCAGGGCATTCCCCAAGATGTCAGAACAAGACTCCATATCATAACGACACTCTTAACTCCCCTCCCTTCATGCATACCTTTTTCACTTGGCAGGATGATGGCGTAGTTGAAAATTCACAATCGGTGGTAACTTGGCAGAAGCTGACCTAAGAGATCCTTTGGTATAGCAGTCCCTAACCTTTTTGGCACCAGGGACCGTTTTCATGGAAGACAATTTTTCCATGGACCAGGGCTGGTGGGGGGGTGGTTTCAGGGTGATTCAGACGTATCACACTTACTGTGTATTTTATTTCTATTATTATTACATTGTTATATATAATGAAATAATACAACTCACCATTAGGTTGGGGACCCCTGCTTTAGTATCTATTGGTATTTATCTACATGCTGTACCTGGATAAACTCCTCTGGGAAATTGGGAAATCTGAGGCCCATATACACAAAATAAGAAAACAGGCCACATGGTTACAAACGGTCTCACTTAATTCCCTATGGTCATTTGATTTGTTCAATTGGTTGCCTTTAAGCCTAGGTTCATGGTTCAATGAAGCATTTGCAAATTGAGATTGTCATATTAGTATTAATTTTACTTTTTTCCTTTTTAAACTGTCTGATACTTGTTAAAATTTTTGCAGAAGTATAACTCCTAACAGAACAATGCTGGCCCAGCACTTTGAGATGATAGCAAAAGACTATGAAACAGGCAAAATTGAACTTAATACTGGACTCCAGGTAGACTTAGCCTGAGAGCTGCTCCTTTCAAATCTCTCTTGTTGCTTGAATGTGGCTAAAAGGGCTTTGACACTGACTCCTTAGTTGCCCATCACTCGCCCAATGTGGGATGCAACCAGGAACCGGGACAGGTCCATCCTGGCATCAAGGGACAATCAAAACCCAACTACAGGTTGATTAATCAGTGATGCTTTCAGAGAAAGATCTTGATCAAAAGGGGGAAATGGGAACGTTGTCAGAATCAAAATGGAGTCACTTATGTTAAAAAGCAAAATAAATGGACCAATAGAACCAGAGAAGGCTGCGAATAAAGGGTTCTCATGGATGAGACTGCAAAAACCACAACCTAGCACAAAGATCATTGAAACCTTGCACAGAAACACACACACACACACACACACACACACACACACCTCTGATGACGTCTGCCCAGCAACTGCATGTCCCAACCTTGGAATAGCATCACCCTTGTTATTGGTCTTGTTAGCCAGGGATAATTATCTTAAAACAATTATATAGTCCTCCTTATTTTTCCTTTAAAAACCTTTGTCTCCCTTTACCACCCTGAATACACATGTAATCTACTATGGCATGCATATTCACATTGCAATGCCCTATTCCTGAATAAATATCGTTTTCTTTGAGGGAGCTCTCTCTGTTTGTTGCTTACTGGACAGAAGAAATCATTACGAATAAGGAGGATCACTACAAGGTGATAAAAGATTCAACATATCAAAAATAACAGTTCTGTCATTGAAAGCACCTAATGAGATACCACCAAAAGTTATATAAAGTGTAAGTTAATGGAAGAGCCATAGTAAAATACCTCTATACACAGCCAGAAGAGTTGAAATTAAGAACCCGACAACACCGGATCTGGTGAGCGGGCAGAGGAACTGGAACTCTCACATCCTGTTGATTGGCATGTAATATGGTCCAAGCATTTTGGGAAAAGTTCTGACAGTTTCTAACAAAAACTGGACATACATATGCTTTTTTTTTTTTTTTTTTTTTGAGACAGAGTCTCGCTTTGTTGCCCAGGCCAGAGTGAGTGCCATGGCGTCAGCCTAGCTCACAGCAACCTCAAACTCCTGGGCTCAAGCACTCCTCCTGCCTCAGCCTCCCGAGTAGCTGGGACTATAGGCATACGCCACCATGCCCAGCTATATATTTTTCTCTCTATATATTAGTTGGCCAATTAATTTCTTTCTATTATGGTAGAGACGGGGGTCTTCCTCTTGCTCAGGCTGGTTTTGAACTCCTGACCTCGAGCAATCCGCCCGCCTCGGCCTCCCAGAGTGCTAGGATTACAGGCGTGAGCCACCGCGCCCGGCCACGTATGCCTTTTGAAGCAACAATTTCACTCCTAGAGAATTCCACACTTACAAGAAATGAAAGCAGAGGCTCATGAAAAGCCTTGTTTGAGAAAGGTCATCACAGCTTTTTTCATAATAATCCCAAGCTATAAACATCTCAAGGTCCCATTAACAGAGTGGATACACTGTACCATGTTCTTAACGCGAAATACTAATAATAGTAATAAAAAGGAACAAACTATTATACTAATGCACATAGCAAAATTTATGAATCTCAGAAATGTACTAAATGACAGAAGCCTTACAAAAAAGAATACATATGTATGATTCTATTTATATAAAAAGTTCTAAAATGGGCTACAGTAGTCTGCAGTAAAAAAAAAAAAATCAAGGCACTGATTGTTTCTGTGTATGGGATGGGGTGGGGGTTGATGGGAAAAGGCACAGGGAAGCTTTCTGCGATGACAGCACTGTTTATATCTTAACAGAATTTTGGGTTACATAGTGTATGCGTTTGTCAAAATGTATTCTTTTAATTGCATGTAAATTTTATCTTTAAAAAATCATAAATATATTGAACTTTAGTTAACAATGTGCATGCTGAAGCATTTAGGAACAAAGCGTGTTGATTTCTGCAGCTATCTTTGTAATGCATCAAAAAAAGATAGATTGATGGATGGATGGAGGGAGGGGTGGATGATGGATATTTGATAAAGCAGATAGGGCACAATGTTAATTACAGAATCTAGAGGGGCTTGTGGGTGTTCGCTTTACAATTCTTTCAGCAATTTTCTATGTTTGAAATTTCATGATAAAATGTTGAGGAACTTGATAGAAGGAAAGAGAAATCAACAAGTCCACCTTTGTAATGGGTGATCTCAAGCAACCTCTTTCGGTTATTGAAACAACAAGCATGTTACCTTAAAGGGACAAGAGCTAGACTGACGGCCAGTCTCTGAGCAGTGAGACTAGAAGACAGAAGACCAAATGAGGTCTCCATTGTGCTGGAGGGGTGGTGGTGTGGGGGGGGGGAGCCAGTCCCAGTGAGAACATCTTTCAGGAATGAGGAGGAAATGAGACATTTTCATACCAGTGGGACTGAGAGCTTGCCCCCAGCAGGCCTGCATCGAAGGGCATTCTAAAGGGCACACTTCCTGCAAAAGAAGAGATCCCAAGTGAAAGGGCTGAGATGCAAGGAGGCATAAGCTGAAGGAGACGGTAAATATGTGGCAAGTCTAAGTGAATGACAGTTAAAATAACGCTTTGTGGATGTTGCAGGTTGGGTTCCTCAGTAAGCAGACTGTGAGACACAGATCTGCACTCCCTGAGTTTCCCGGGGAGCGCTCCTGGGACCCACGCCGGGGGGAGAGGGGCGGTGGCCGGGCAGAGGGAGAGGTCGAGCTGTGGTGCTCAACCAAGGATGGTTTGATGTCACAGCCAAGGCCGAGGCCTCAGCTGACCCTCTGGAGCTGAAATGGCCCTTCCGAGTATGCCACATGTATGTAGGCAAGGGTGCCGGGACTTTATACCAGGCGTTGGATATGGGTTGCCCTCAGAAAGGGGCTGTGACCCTGGACACGTGGGGGTTGGGGGTGGCTCTCTTCATCTGAGAGATTCCTGGAGAGTGACTCGGCTGAGGGCTGTCGGCAGAACACTCTAGGCAGGCGGAAGAGTAGCGGCTTTATGTGGGTGGAGCGGGTGGGCTGGGGGTGGGAGAGATCTGGTGGCGCCTCTCATCATGCATTATGTAGACTTGATAAAGGAGGACATAAAAAAAGTCCAGGCAGGCAATAATAACATATAACAAAAAGACAACCCAATTTGAAAATGGGCGAAGGACTTCAATAGACATTTCTCCAGAGAAGATATACAAATGGCCAGTGTGCACATGAAAAGACGGTCACCATCATTAGTCATTAGGGACATGCAAATCAAAGCCACAATATGGTACCACTTCACACTCACTAAAATGGATAGAATAATTAAAAAAAAACTGATAAATATTGGCAAGGACGTGGAGAAACTGGAACCTTCCTACGCTGCTGGGGAGAATGTAAAGTGATTCAGCTGTTGTGGGAAAGTTTGATGGTTCCTCAAAAAGTTAAACATAAAATTACCACAAGACCCAGCAGTTATACTCCTAGGAACATAAAATAATTGAAAATAGGTGTTGAAATAAAAACTTGTACGTGGATGTTCATAGCACTATTCACAATGGTCATGAGGTGAGTGCGGCCCAAACGTCCATCAGTTGGACGAATGGATTTTATTTTATTTTATTTTTTTTTTTTGCCTTAACTTTAAGAATGAAAGGACGAATGGATTTTAAAAAATGTGGTACATCTATACAGCACAATGTTATGAGCCATAAAAATGCATGTACCTGCTACAGCGTGCACGAACCTCAAAAACATCACGCTAAGTGAAGGAAGCTAGACACAAAAGGACATATTGTATGATTCCTTTCATATGAAATAGCCAAAATAGTTAAATCTGTGGAGACGGGAGGCAGACTGGTGGCTGCCAGGGGCGGAAGGGATGGGCAGATGGGGAGTGACTGCTTGATGGATATGGGATTTCCTTTTAGGGTGATGAAAATGTCTAGATAGAGGTGGTATTTGCACAACATTGTGAGTGTGCCGAATGCCATTGTTCACTTTTAAATGGTTAGTTTTATTAATAAAAAAGGATATATTCGTTAACTCGTTAAAAAATATTTACTATGCTAGACATTGAGATACATTACATGAACAGACACATTTATTGTTTTTATGGAGCTTACGTCACATGGTGAGAATTATTTATTTATTTGTTTAAGAGAAGAGGTCTTCCTATGCTGGCCTCCATCTACTGGTCTCAAGTGATCCTCCCACCTCAGCCTCCCAAGTAGCTGGGCCTACAGTTGTGTGTCACTGCCCCCAGCTGAGAATTATTTATTATTAAACAACAAAACTAGAAATAAATAAAATGTTATAGTATATAGGCCAGGACTGAGTGGGTGGGTGGTGGTGGGAGGTGGGGTTGTCTAGGGTTCCCAGACTGTCAGGGAGGGTGTGCACACAGGCATTTACCTGCACTGGACCGTGGCTTGTGAAGGATGCATGTGTGGTCTCTATGGTAACCACCAGTATATTGTAGTAGTAAAGGTGGGACAAGCAGTCAAGAAAGAAAAAAAGATAACAGGTGGGACAGGTAGAAGGTGCAAGATAAAAGGTGGATCTAAAGGGTATTTATTGAAACCTTAAAATCTGTACCCTCATAATATGCCGAAATAAAAAATAAAAAAAAAGAAGGTGGATCTAAACCCACATTTATAATGGGGTTATGGGGTTAAAAAGAATTGCAAGAGTGAATATTTTTTTCTTTTTTTTGAGACAGAGCCTCACTCTGTTGCCCGGGCTAGAGTGCCGTGGTGTCAGCCTAGCTCACAGCAACCTCAAACTCCTGGGCTCAAGCAATCCTCCTGCCTCAGCCTCCCGGGTAGCTGGGACTACAGGCATGTGCCACCATGCCTGGCTAATTTTTTCTATATATTTTTAGTTGTCCAGCTAATTTATTTCTATTTTTAGTAGAGACAGGGTCTCACTCTTGCTCAGGCTGGTCTGGAACTCCTGACCTTGAGTGATCTGCCCACCTTGGCCTCCCAGTGTGCTAGGATGACATGTGTGAACCACTACGCCTGGTCTAACCTTTTTTTCTTTTCCTTCCCTCTTCCCTTCCCTCTTCCCTGTCCTCTCTCCTCCCCTTTCATCCCCTCCCCTCCCCTCTCCTCCTCTTTCCTCCTCTCCTGCTCTCTTTTCTTTCCTCCTCTCCTCTCCTCTCCTCTCCTCTCCTCTCCTCTCCTCTTCTTTTCTTTTCTTTTCTTTTCTTTTCTTTTCTTTTCTTTTCTTTTCTTTTCTTTTCTTTCAGAGAAGGTCTTACTCTGTTGGCCAGGCTGGAGTGCAGTGGCGTGATCACAGCTTACTGCAGCCTCCAACTCCTGGGCTCAAGCGATCCTCCCACCTTGGCCTCCCAAAGTGGTAGGATTACAGGCATGAGCCACGGCCTCCAACCAAGACTGAATTTTTAAAAATCCACTATATCCTGTTTAAAAGAGACACATTTAACATGCAGGGATACAAAAAAAAAAAGTTGAAAGTAAAAGGAAAGAAAAAGTCCAATGAATTAGATAACTACAAATAAAAATAATGTGACAACAAGTTTTAACTAAAGCACTACTATATACATTAAAATGGAATTCTAAGAAATACCCAGTTAACCCAAAAGAACATAGAACAGACGGGGGAAGAAAGGAATAAACAGAGAGCAAATAGTATTGATACAACAGT